CGTGGCGCCGCGGCGGGTACAGCAGGTCGATTATGCACACCAACATCTACAAATAAACATATATATGTGGCTTGTGGCTCCATCAAATGAAAAGTCATTGCTTTTTTAATATTTACACTCTTTTCCATAAAAACACATCCTCATACATCGTCGTTCTTCTTTTTTCTCTGACTCAACTCAAAACTCATTTAAAAACAAACGTCAAAAATATTAAATTCGAAATAAATTAAAAGAAACACGTATTTAACCTCCTTGTTATTATAAAGAGTTTTTTTTTTTTACGTATTGAAACAAACTACTAGGACGATTTCAAGTTCTTAAACCTGTAAAAAGCTACGTTATCAGAACATAGGCTACTATTTTATTTTTTTTTAATTCCACTCGGGTGAAGTAATAGCAACAGTTAGTATTTTATACACTTCGATCTTTTATATTTTTTTTAATATTAGGTAACAAATGATCCCAGTAATTTCCTTAAATAACAACCACTGCCCATAAATATTATTTGCTTTACTTTATTACTTATACTAGCTGTTGCTCACGACTTCGTCCACGTAAAATAGAAAAAATAATAAAAAAATGGAAAAAGAAAAATATTATAGCCTGTTACTCAGTGGTAATACAGCTTTGTAATGAAAGAATTTTGAAAACAACCCAGTAGATTTTGAGTTATTTCAATACATACAAAAATACAAATTTTTTCCTTTCCTCTTTACAATATTAGTATACTTGTAGATAACTTGTAATGGATTAAATATTTATTTTATTGTAATAGGCAATATGCATAAGACGCCAAATTGTACCAAACTTTTTTTAAGTATACTTTATTACTATAAAAACATTCCTGCAAAGATTTTTTTAAATATAATGTCATTCAGTGGCAAAATTTAATCATTAAAAAATGTCTTATCAAATTCCCTCGCAAAGTTCTAAAACGCACACTATGGAATAAGACGATTGACGTCAATTGTCTCGAAAATGGTCGTAATTTTATTTTATTATTTTTAGCTCAATGGTTGAATATTTTCGCGTCAATTTTTTTTCTGGTTATTTTATAACAAGTAGAATCGTTTAAAAAAAGAAAAAAACACATGCATATTCCCTATTATGCCATAAAATGTTACATTATTTGATTCCAGGATTAGTTTTACATATAAGATGTATGAAAAAATACGAAAAGACTGACAATAATTGGATAGACTTAGACCATAGAAATAGGATAATTCCCCTACCTATGTCTAAAGTTACTTTCAATACTTTCTTTGTACAAGTGGAAAAACAAAGCCTTCAATAACTCATCGGGGAATTACTTTCACTTAAAGGCTGTTTTCTGTATAATAGTATTACAGGGGAGGGGACATTATAAAAACTTATTTGTGAACTTACCAGTCCAAGTAAAGCTCCAATGAAGATAGTCCCAACAGCAAATATCAGATATGAGCCCCAAGTCGGTAACCCATATGTCTCCATCAACATTGTGTGAACACTCTGGAAATACAACATTTAATAGTAACTATAATTAATTATATTATATATAATTGATATTTGTATAATGTGGTAATATATAATAAATGTGGTAATTGTATACAAATATAATCTATACTATTATAATAAAGCGTAAACACAAACTTCTTTGTTGCCCAAGATGTCAGCAATTACACCATATTTTTGCATAATTCTTTTTTTAGTAAAAAGCCTTACACTTACGTCACGCTTTAGGCTATTTATTTTCACGCTATTAAACTTAGAGGGTAAATAAATTGGATAAAAACCCTAATTTGGGACAGACCATAAGCTGCGAGCTGCAAACATCAAGGAAGCAAGGTTGTCATTTATGCATTTGAACTTTTGACAAATGTAAACAATAAAATAATGTTTTTATAATTTCACGCGGATGAAGCCGCATGGGAACAGCTAGTTTATTACATTTGTAATATAAATAATAGATTATTTAGATAGATCCTTAGCATACACTACTTAGTTATGTCAGCTATCACTGCAATTTTTTTAATAATTCTCTCTTCAATAAAAAGCCCTATAATGACGAAAGGCTTTAAGCTATACATTTTCACGCTAATAGACTTAGAGGGTAAATAAATTGGAAAAAACCATCATGTGGGAAAGGACCATAAACAAGCTGCTATCATTAAGGAAGCAAGGTTGTCATGGTAACGGTTGTCATTTACAATTGTGAATTTAACAAATGTTTAACATGGTTTCTATAAAAATGAAATATATCATATTTTTATATTATTATTAGAGAAATTTATTCACTGTTTTTTAATAGTGCACCACTGTCTGTGGAATCCGATGACTGAAGCAACCAGTGGTCAGGGCTGCGGAGACAGGAACCTCTAAATAACTGCCTATATTCCATTATTAGGGGTAGTATCCCTAACTCTGCTTCTGTCACTTACCCTGAGCGCCTGACTGAGCTTGAAGAAATGAGCCACAAGACTCATCTGCAGGGAATCCGGAGACTTCCAAGCTGAAAGGGGGTCAGCAGAGCGCCAACGCGCGCGTTCCACATACGACAGCATAGCTTCCGCGTCACGAGGACCCTTGTATTGACGGAATTCACCATCTTTCACACTGGAAAGAAACATAAACTATACTAATCTTATTAATATTAACTAGCTTTCGCCTGCAACACCGTCTGCTTGAGTTTATAAAAAAATTATGTATCCTATGTGTTATTCCAGAATATCCTTTACATGTATGCCATAGTTAATCGAGGTCCGTTCAGTAGTTAAACTACAAACTTTAACAAACATCCATCCATACATATAAACTTTCGCATTTATATTAGTATGATGTGAAAGTTTAGATGGATGGATGTTTGTTAGATTTTGTACCATTAACTTCTGAACGGATCTCGATGAAATTTACCAAATATGTGCAGGTTAATTTAATTCGCAAAGATATTTGAATACATTTATAATAGTAAATATATTAAAAACTGTTATTCAGCAATTTATTCATATCATACTTTGGATAAACAATGAAATATACCAATTTTGGAGCGGGCACACACATTTTACTAAACTATCGCACAATCGTCGTGCGATTGTCGGTTGTTTCTCAGCCAATTCAACTGTTTAGTTGCACAAGTAACAATCGAGTAGTGTACCTTCAAATAAGCTCATAGGAATCCAAGCGAGATTAAATGCTGTCCAATAGTTTAGTCAAAAAGCACACTTTGAATACAAAATATTTGAAGTTCAAAGTCTTACTGGAATATAGTAGGCAGGGCTGTCACAACGAATCGTCCGCTAAGTCCTGGGGATTTGGTGACATCGACCGCAGCTGTTTTCATAGGGAGGTTCTTGCGGGCCGCGCGGTTGGTCAGCTCTGTCCATGCAGGAGCTAGCGCGTTGCAAGCCGGGCACCAGGGGGCGTAACTGGAAAGTAGAGATTAAAAGTTATAAAAATGTTTAAAAATATTATAAAAGAAGCTATTTGGACATGTTATGCGAAGAGATAATGGGGACATAAACCAGAAAGTGTTAAGAATTAATGTGGATGGCTACAAAGGAAGAGGAAGACCAAAGAAAGTATGGATGGATTGTGTGAAAGAGGATATGCTTAAGAAAGGAATGGATTCAGATATGACGGCTGATAGAGATGTATGGAGCAGCACATACTGTGTTAGTTGATGATGATGAAAAGAACCTATTTGAGAAGATATATCTGTTGACTTCGATAAAATTAAGATAATTTTCATAGAAAAATTATAATAAAATTAGAAACTTAATGTGTTTTAAATACATTTTGCCTAAACATATGTCAACCCTTTTACACCGAGTCTCAGCAAGCATTTTGAACAATTCTTGGCTATTAAAACATTATTAAGTATATTTGTTTATGGAATTTTGTTTAATCTACTATATCTAACACTAGCTGTTCCCGTGCGGCTTCATCCGCATGAAATTATAAAAAACTTTGTTTTGTTGTTTACATTTGACAAATTCTCAATTGCAAATGTCAAAGTACCAATTACCTTACTAAAAGCAGTGTGGTGGTACATATTAATGGTCAAACATATACAGATATGTCCATATTAGTAGCAGTCAAGGGTTTAGCATGTATTTAACTAAACAGTAGGTTTTTTAAATAATAGAGCTATTGTATAAATCAAATAATTATTGAATTTGCAAGCAAAATTCTGCAATAATCAATGCCATAATATCAATTCTACATTAGATATGTAATTCTAGATTTGGGTATACCAGTTTGCTAATAAGTTGAAATAAATTATGTGTCAGAGACAATGACTAAGCTATCGCCTACATTCTAGACTTCAAAGTGAATAAAGACTAATAAAATATGCTAACATAATACAAAATATCATTATACTAGCTTTGGCCTGCAACTGCATCTGCGTAGAATTAAAATAACCAGACATGTTCGTTTTTAAATTATAAGTTGGCAAACGCAAGACACCTGAATCTGCCGAAATGGCGAAGTGACCACTACCATAGACATCTGCAGTTGCAGATATGCCTACTCCTAATCAACGAAGGTGGAAATGCAAACAAACAGGAAATTTTCCATCCTATGCATCTACTGGTAAATTCACTTTTACTTTTAATTCTATCCTCTTAAGAAAATGATGGAAAGGAAAAGGGACTAAAATTAGGCCTCTGGCAACACTCTAATCAGACTACGCGGAATTATTCAGTTAAATGCTCTGCAAGTAAGCCAATTCATGCATATTTAATTGTGGACTCTACCGCTGTTGTATAAAGCTAAATTAAGGGCCTGACACAAAAATTGTAAATTGTCTGATAACAATCTGTGTAAAATATGTGATGGTAATATCGGATTTTGTTCCCTTATCTGACAGTGACGTTTTTTAAGCTGTCAGAGTGTCTATCAGCCAGTGGTGAGACAGGCCCTTACTATCATAATTACATACATTCAATGTTTAAACTATTACTTTATCTTTATCTTTCCGAGAGAGTATATAATGAGTCAAACATGAAGAAATGTGGCAATGAACTTACATAGTAAACAACTTAATAATTCTTTATTGCTTATTTATTTTACCAATGATTAATCTAAAGTTTTTTTAATTTTAAACTATGGCTTCTAAGTTTAAGATATAAAGATTTATTTATAAGTTACAAAATTTGTTTCACACAATTTTGGTTGATTGCCTGGTTCCTACACTAATGTGAGGCTCTAGCCTAGAGCCTTGGCTCTAGGCCAGTCTTGTAGAAGTCATAGTTCTTCCTTCTTAGTGCTAGTTTTATAGGACATACAGTAATATAATATAAATCTAAACTAATATACAATAAAAAAGGTAAGTTGTTTGTGAACTTAAATGTTACTATTTGTGTGGTGCGTGTGTGTGAATGTGTAGGTGTATATGTGCTTTTGGGAGATATTTATATATGACAATCATATAAGTGTAAGGATTTAAGTTATTAACAGTGGTAGAGCCCGCTTTAACATCTTCGCACGAATGGGCTGGCTCGCCCGGTGAAATACCACAACCACACAGAAAACAGGTGTGAAGTGGGAGCAATTTCGCCTTCCGTCTGATGAGTGTGGTGCCGGAGGCCTAATTTTAGTCCCTTTTCCTTTCCACCCTTTTCTTAAGAGGAAGGAAAAGTGGATTTGATGGTGGAGGATGCACATAGGAAGGGGAAATATCCTCTTTATGTGTGTCTCTTCCTCTGTCAATTAAGGGTAGACAACGCATCTGCAATTGCGGATGTGTATGGGCAGCGGTCGCTGTCCATTTTGGTGGATTCAAGTGGCCACTTGCTTGTTAGCCACCTTATATTATAAAAAAAAATTATTATAAGCCTAATTACCAGATATCTAGGAGTTTGGAAATAAAGTCTTCATATCTTATAGCAAATGTTAAAAAATATATATGTAAGATATTGAACAGTCCTTAATTTCAATCATTATAACATTGGTACAATGTTTTTGTTATTAATTGGAGTTAGTTATAAATCACTTTTTCTAATAAGATGATGAAATAGACTTTACAATAGTACAGATTGTTCTGAAGGTTTAAAATAGTCATAAATTGAATCATCAAAGGCAATACTAGCTATAGAAGCTATTTTTATAGGATAGGTTTGCAATTTCTAGGACGAACAAGAAATACGTGCCATCTCTTATGCACAAAAATCAATAAAGATCAGTTACTTTTACATAAAGGCATTTAAACATTGTTTGTGTTGTTCATGAGTTGTAAACTAGTTATGTACATTTTTAATTCCGGCTACAATAGATGAATGCGTCACGATTTCAAAACGGTTCATTGTAGACCTCGCCGTCCTTGTAATGGTTGTTGAACCCAAATTGCATTACGACCCACGGAATAATAAATTATATGGTAAATTTATGTATTTAACAACACAAATATATTTAGGAAATACTCCAGTAAGCCACTAATTCTTGTAATTCACGATAATGTAGCTATACAAATAGATTGACACGTTTTTAAAAAAAACACAATTTTTTTACCGGTGTGTAGTGAAAATTGAATAACTCACAATTCCACCATCCATTCTCCTTGAAGTATTTCCCTCCAGTTATCTTCGTCTAATTCACGAGTTGCATTCACATAACTTGATAAACAGCATATTGTAAAACAGAAATAAATGAAAAAATTTAACACCTGCGGTGACCTGTTAACGCGCGCCATGTCTGATTTTAATGAAATGTCAGTCGATAACGATCTAAATTCGCCTCTTATTGCCATTAACTAGATATTATGTGAATAAAACCAACATAATTTATATATTTGATAAGTTTTGTAATATACCTATTTGAATACTGCATTTTTTTTTTAATTCAGATATTTTCGAATTGTTGTTGAAACAATGTTGAAAAACATAGTTTAAAATTTTACAAATAGATGGCAGCATTATAAAATATGACTTTTGCATGCCAGAGTAGACAATAATACTTGCATATTTAAGTAAGAACATACTAGATGGCGGTAATGTAGTCCCAAGAGCAAATAAGGGTTTTTTTTAGATTAAATTCGTCATAGTACTTACATTCTTTTGATAAGATTTGTTACAGTTTATAAACAGGGAATAAAACTGATTTTTAGCATCCCTGATTCGCAAGTCTGAAGTAGGTCTTCTTATATTTTCGAGTTTTTAGCTGACTTATTCAAGCCATAGACTTCACTAAAAAACTTTTAGGGGTACTCAGAGTTGTTAATTGGTCACTAATGGAGTCCTGTAGTATACTAAAAAATATGTACTAGTTATATCTAGAGTAACGAAAATTCGTCTCGGCGCGGTAAATTGCTATATACATTTTGAAAATAGAACACTGATCATGTTTAAATTCAATTTTGAAAATAGAACATTGATCATTCAATGTTCGAAAATTTTGAAATTTTGAATTGTCAGCAACTGGTCGGTAACATTTCACCTGGCGTAATGTCATTTTTCACCTGTTGTTCAAGGTTACATCGTAGTTTTCTATATGGGCCACATTAACTAATTAATTTTAGTTAATTTGATAGTTTTTGGAACGCCGAAAATAAACTTTTGTTAGTTCATAGACGACTAGCTTTCGCCAGCGACTCCATCCGCGTGGAATTAAAAAAAACAAAAGTGAGTAGCCTATCTGTTCTTCCAGACTATCCTCTACATCTAAACCAAATTTCATTGATATCCGTTCAGAAGTTTAGGCTACAAACTCTAACAAACATTCATCCATCTAAACTTTCGCATTTGTCATGTTAGTAAGAAGTATTAAAGAATAGCAAAAGACGCAACACACAACATTTTACTTTTTTTCTTTAACTTTACAGCATTGTAATTTGCCAGAATCAAGATTACAATTCTGTCACGGATGTTGATTTCCATACTAAAGGAGGGGGTGTCTTCTTTAGTCTTTTGTTCAACCAAAGTCTACATTACCTAATTCAAGAGTAGCTGACAGCGAAGCCTTTTCGTTAATTAAGTTAAAGCTTGTAATAGACAAAAAGGCGACACGCGAGCGACGCGGCCTCGCTCGATAGTAGACGAAGCCGGACCCGGTCTGAAGCCAAGGAAGTGACGCGACGCGGCGCGATGTACCACAATGTTTTTTTAAATTAAAATATCATACCTTTAGTTTTAGAAATAGAGAGTCTAGACTCTAGATCTAGATTTATTGAGGTTCTTTCGAGACATCATTATCTTATGTCAAATAAAGCAATGAGGAGAAAAAATGATTTTCGTTCCACATTTTACCCTGATAATACCTTTAGTGCCTACTCCCTTTTCGTACAAGAAAAGGATAGGAAGGGGAAGTGGCGGAAAATCCTCTGTATGTACCTCCCCTCTTCTGTTCATTATAGGTATGAAATATATATGCGGATGTCTATGGCCTGTGTGATAGCATTTCGCCAGAGAAAACCTATCGAGATTCCATAGTCGTGCTACCAATATTTTATTGTCCCAACAAACGTAGCATGAGTCAGCAGAACTTAAGCATGTTTAAATAAATAGACATCGATCAGATTCCTGTGACAGTTGTCAAATATCAAAATATTTTACGCGCGCTTTTTGTGTGATACGTCATGCCCGTTGTCTATTATTAGGGTTGGGAAAACTAGAAATTGTTATTATTTTATTGATTTGATTTGTACCGTTCTAATTATTTTTTGAATTTTTAAATAATTTAAGACACTCAAAAAGAAATTAATTAAGTGTCGTGTGAATAGGTATTTCACTAACATACATTAGTGTCCACTACTAAAAATGACTGTTACCTACAATACGCATGACAAATGACAATAAATTATATATGAGTATACCAGAATGTACATGACGTTCTAACGGTGAAGGAAGACATCGTGATGCCTGCACATATTGGCGAAGAAACTGAAAGATATGTGTGAAGTCAATCAACCCGCAGTGGGCCAGCGTGGTTGAATACGGCCTAGTCACACCTTATTTAGGGTAGGCTCCGAGCCCCTCGGTGGGGACGTATAGTGAGCTGGTGATGATGATGATGATACCAGAATGTAATTCAATATATTCAACAGTTCTAGCTGAATACAACTAAAAAGCCCTTGACATAATTTTTTTTTATATAACATAAGGTAATGTATTCATTTCTTCAGTTTTATACTTATTGCATATTATTATATACCAGCTGTTGCTCTAAAATAATAAAAATATAACCTATGTTACTTACTAATAACGTAGCTTTTTAATGGTGAAATAATTTTTGAAATCAGTCCAGTAGTTTTTGAGTTCTTTCAATCCATACAAAAACACATTAGTATAGATAAATCGGCTTATTTAAATAAAGAAAAAAACAAGTATTGTTAAGTTACATTTATACATAAAACGAAAATTATTAAAATAAATCAATTAAAAATGTATTTTACCGCGTCCCTAATCCTTGCCCTACATTCAATTCAAA